ATTCTCATCTACTGCTTGCCAGGCCTTAAATGCTTTCTTCTTTTCTTTCAAAGCCTCTCTCACATCCGCACTCCACCACCAAGTTTCTCTTCGCTGGACACACTTTATGGTTAGATTTTCAAATATACAAAGATGTTGGTGATTCAGGGGTCGCAAGTAAAAGTTTTCATAAAGTTTACGTGTACCTTGTTCTCCCCCAATATCGCAAATGTAGAACCGTGCCTTAATCTCTTAAACGGGAATAGCTTTTTATAGTAAACTAGCTTTCGCCCGCGACTCTGCCCGCGTTGAATTAAAAAAAAAACAAAAGTGAGTAACTAATGTATCCTTCCAGACTATCCTCTACATCTATACCAAATTTCATCGAAATCCGTTCAGCCGTTTAGGCTACAAACTCTAACAAACCTCCATCCATCCATCTAAACTTTCGCATTTATAATATTAGTATGATATAGTATAGTATGGCCACCGGAATTCTCCAAAATAGCGAATCTATCCTTAGACATCCACATTTCCAGATGCGTTATCTAAAAGCGGATTATTTCCCCTATCTGTGCGTCCCCCCCGAACTTCCCCACTTTCGCCAAACTAATTTTCATCTTTACATTCATTATTTTACGCAGTGAAAAGGGCTACATCTCTTATGGCATTTTTAATAGATGTATTATTTCTATACATAACCATAACAAAATCTTCAGGTAAGCCAGTACTGGTACTGGCCAACAAACAGGATAAAGACGGCGCTCTTGACGACATCGATGTTGTGGAGAAACTCAACATTGAACCACTCGTCAACAAGTATGTGAATTTCGTATTAAAAACTGCAAAATTATCTTGTATAGATTTGCATTTCTAAAGCCAATTTCAGACAAAATCGAGTTACAGCTCACACGTCCTATGTGTCTTACAATCTGTCGGTCATCAACATTTTAATGCACTTTGATGTTAGATGTGGCATGATTTAAAACGCTTTTACATATTTAAATGTCACTACACTAAAGTTATAAAGAAAAGATTTGAAATATAATGTTCGTAAGATAAGGGTTTCTTACCACGATTGAATTGTTTTAGCTCCCGATATTTAGCCCGTGAACATGGCGCATGCAACTGTGCCGAAATATCGGAAGCTAAAACAATTCAATCGTGGTAACAAACCCGTATCTTACGAACATTATATATGTAAAAACCACGACAGTTTGAAGTTATAAAAGATTTGAATTTTTATATTTTTGTAAATAGTGAAATAACTCAAAAACTACTAGGCCGATTTCAAAAATTCTTTCAGTATTAGTTGTCGTATAGCAACATAGGCTATATAAATATATAGTGTATTTTACTATATTGTTAAAAACTGACGTGGAAGAAGTGACTCTAACAGTTATTTTATATGTTATGATCATAACGTTTTAAAATAATAAAATATTTTATCAGGTACAGATGTCCGACATTGGTAGAATCCTACACAGCTTATTTAACAGATACAAAATCTAATAAACCTAAAATCGATCCCGGTTTACGTAAAGGCTACCATTGGCTCCTAAACTATATCGTCCGTAGATACGGCGATATAAATTTACGTGTACAAACAGACATACATGCGGACTTAGAGAGACGTAAACGATTACTAAACAGGGCTGCCAATCGAACTTCCCAGACGTTTACAGCTGAAAGTGATGATGTAGCGACGCAAACAGGTTTTGAAAACCCTAATTTCGATCCACATAATACTGTTGATAGAGAGAAAGATCTAGAAAGGGGTGTTATTGTTGTTAAGCCGATTGGAGTTAAACCGAACAGTTTAGATACAACAATAACTATAGAAAGTGTTGAAGATACGGATACAAGTGGTAAACCGAAGTTATCTCCATTATTCGGACGTAGTAATAGTACGGTTAATGAGGCTGTCAGAATAGAATTAGAGCCGAGAAATGAATTCAGGAAATTGTCACCGATTGTACGAAAGAACGCTGGGTCGCAGCCGTTCGATTTTAAGAATAGACCCCATTCTAGTCCGACGACGAAGAAAATCAAGGTTAGTATTGAGTTTCTATTTGCTAAAACAGATATAAAAAACCCTGTGACATGTGTTTTATTAGTAACTAGCTGTTCCTGTGCGATTTCATCCGCATGAAATTATAAAAATTATCAATTACAAATGTCAAAATGACATGACATGATGACAACCTTGCTTCCTTGATGTTGGCAGCAACTTATGGTCTCTTTCCCACATATGGGTTTTTATCCAAAATATTTACCCCTACGTTTAATGGCGTTAAAATGTATAGCCAAAAGCAAGACGCACGTGTAGGGCTTTTTATTAAAAAAGAATTATTCAAAAATGTGTGGTAGGCAACAAAGAACTGTGCGTTTACCCTTTATTGTAATAAGTATAGAAGTATAGATTCAAGGTAATAAAACGTACTTTACGATTGATGGTATATTTATAGTTTTATTAGTGATATTTCTTAAAGTAATAATGACCTGCAGAACCGTTACAAATAATGAGAATAAATAAATATTTATTACTACTACAGCCGTACGTAATCGAATTGTATTTCGCTATTATTTCTGTCATCGCTAAATTCTCTACACTATAATCAACACTAGAATTGTCTTCTAAATTACTTAATAAGAAAATTTTAGTTAAGTTCGATAAATTTTATTTAAACCGAATATCGATAGTTCATAATAGTTCGCTGCGTGTTTGTTTCGTCACTACGATACCTGTATTAAGTACGGCATTTGCCTTCATACGACTTTAATTGGATACTTCATATGCGTCATTTATCAAACTGCTTATTTAGACAAACTATAGTAACCAACTGTACCAAGTGTGATTTGGATTATAGCCTCCTGTAGCTTAGTGTTTAACTTGTTACCGACAGCGCGGCAGCCAAAAATACAAAACACTTTTTATCAAACTAACACATCTTTATTCAAAACTTATTTACACAAATATATACAAAAAACTCAAAATTATCTGGATCACATCTTGACTTCTTCTTCTTCTTTTTCTATATATTTTCTTTAACCAACGATAAATGCCTTGGTGGCCAGTATGCAACCTCTTTGGCTGTATACGTACTGCTTGTCAGCCAAAGAGGTTGTATTTTGCACTCAACACTTAGGACATTCACTAAGACCAGTTCTATTCAATAGGATAGTCAAAGTACAGTATCAAATTCATTTATCCAAGAGGATGATGTTAAAGAAGATTTGGACCCCAAGTTCTCTGGTGGCAGTAAAACTTGGGATGCTGGACTGAAGCACCGCGTATTCGTCAAAGATGTAGAACTATCACAGATGCATCGAGAAATTGTGCTGACTGAGAGAGGTAGGAATTATTGTTTTAATGAATGTTGTTTTAAGACCAAAGGACTAATATTAGACAATTTTCTTTTGCTTATACGGAAAGGATGGGCTGGGAAAGTAGATGGAGGTGGAGGAGACGCATAGAAAGGGGAAATGTCATCTTTATATGCGTCTTTTCCGTTTATTAAGGGTAGACAACCAAATTCTGACTCATTGGTAGAATTCTGACGGACTGAAAGGTTGAAATATTCTGACAGAATTTCCAGTATTGTCAATTTGAAAATCTGATGCTAGTATTGTCTTTCTAGAAATTTAAATTCAAGAGTTTAAAATCTTTAGACCACTTGTACATCTAAGAAACATTTCCACATTAGGGTTTTTATTCAAAATATTTATCCCCTAAGTTGAATGTCGTGAAAATATATAGCTTAAAGCATGACGTAAGTGTAAGGCTTTTTATTAAAAAGAGAATTATTCAAAAATATGCTGTAATAGCTGACATCTTAGGCAACAAAGAAGTGTGTTTACGCTTTATTATAATAGTATAGATATAGATAGTACAAATGAAAAATTTTTAGATACCAGTTTCGCGTCAAATTAAAACCATAATCTATTCAATACGCCACTGCCATGAGTTATTTAACGGTATTTCTTAGTAGGCAATTGTTATTATATTTTTCATGTAATAAAGAAGGTCAGGTGAAAACCGCGTCATCAGATATCGTAACAGCAGCGACGTTACCACTCAGTGCTAGACCAGCTTCAGCCTCGCAGTTAGTGCGCAAACAGCTGGAGATCTGCGCACAGCAAAAACGACGGCTCAGTCTTAGATGTGAGTGCTTACTGTTTTTTTTTACTTTTATTAGACAATTTTAGGTTTCAACAGAGCTGGACACCTAGACGACTCGTCTGCTTTCATACCTGACTTACATTTAGACTAGGGTTGTAACGGAACTTCGCTTCCGCATCCGCAAGTGCGGAACTTCCGCAAGAAATATTAACTCTGCATTCGCTGGAATTAAAATGGCCTCCGTTACTAATTTAGATAGTAGCGCTGTACTGTACAGGTATTCAACTGGCATGTTAACAAAACCATGGCCAGCGCTACTGTCTAACTATACTAGCTAAGTGTGTACCAGGCATTACCCGCAATGGGTATATGTGATAAGCTATTTGGAAAACACTGGAGTTAAGGACGTCCATTCTTCCCCTAATATTGTAACAGTACATTTTCTCGACAAATATTAGCTGTATCTTTTGCCCGTGACTTCGTCCGCGTGGATTAAAAAATACAAAAGTAGTCTGTGTTCAAGTCTATACTACATGTATGGCAAATTTCATCAAAATCCGATCAGCAGTTTAATATTATCATCACCAGCTCACTATACGTCCCCACCGAGGGGCTCGGAGCTTACCCTAATATGGGGTGACTAGGCAATAGTCAACCACGCTGGCCAACTGCGGGTTGGTTGACTTCACACATATCTTTGAATTTCTTCACCGATATGTGCAGGTTGCATCACGATGTTTTCCTTCACCGTAAGAACGTCGGGTAAATTATGTACATATGAAAATTCGAAAGATCTAAATTCACATTGGTACAGCGGGATTCGAACTCAAGACCTGTAGATGAGAAGTGTTTAAACCACTATGGCACCGACGTTCTTTTTTTTTTCTAAATTCGAGGACAGTTCAATATACACTAACAAACATCCATTTAAACTTTCGCATTTTTAAGTTTTCAATTTCAACATAGATATGCAACGTAACAAGACAAGTCCCGAGCGTATGGCGGCGATGTTGTACGAACCTAAGTCTCAAAGACATCTCGATAAAGGGGACTTCCAGCAACCAACAATTATTAACTAAATATGGTAAGTGTCTTTGCAGGATAATTTGCTGAATTCTTTTACAGGGAAATACTAGAGATGGTTTTTCCCTTCTCATCATATACGGAAAGGGCAAGAAAAGTGGATTTGACGGAGGAGACACAGGAAGGGGGAAATATCCTCTTTATGTGCTTTAAAAAATCTTTTACTTGCTAAGCGAGAGCACAGTTAAGATTTACACGTCTACTATTCTAATTTTAGTCCCTTTCCCTTTCCACTATTTTCTTGAGAGGAAAGGATGGGAGGTAAAAGTGGATTTAACGGTGGAGGAGACGCAAAGGAAGGGGAAATGTCCTCTTTATTGCGTCTCCGTCAATAGTAATATGTTTTGTGGTCGATAATATTTTAGTAATTTTAAAGTCTTATTACAGTGTTGTTTTACTTATAAAAGACTAGCTTTCGAACGCGACTCCGTCCGCGTGGAATTAAAAAAAAGAAAAGTGAATAGCCTATGAGTTCTTCCAGACTATCTTCTACATCTGTACCAAATTTCATCGTAATCCGTTCAGCAGTTTAGGCTACAAGCTCTAACAAACATCCATCTAAACTTTCGCATTTATAATATTAGCATGCCAAAATATTGATTTTTAAATGTTTTGACAGATGTCGGTGTTGCAATAAGAGAAGAAAAGGTTAAGAGAATATTGATTGAAATATTTTCAGTATATTAGTTAAAACTGTAAAAAAATAAGATTTTATTTCTAGTTCATATCTTTGATTATTTTATAATTAGTCTTCAGCTATACCAAATTTCAGAATTGTAGTTTTTGTTACACGTTTAAAATGTGTTGCCATGTTGAAAAATAAAATAATTTTGGTAATATTTTCTTGGAATATACAAGACAGTGATTGCTGATGATAGATTTGTCACAAAATGCAAGAATATTGTATTTTGTGAGAAAGATAATTATCACTTATGCAGTAATTAAGTCTTTATATAAAGTCAATGGATATAGACATATTTTTGACCGACTTCCCAAAAGAAGGAGGTACTCAATTCGTCTGTATGTTTTTTCACACTATTGGTCGTTTGCAAACTTCGTTAGCAAAGTAAAAGGTTTAATATTCTCCAGTAAATTAGCTAAAATTCTATCAAAACCCCGTCAAAAGAACCAGAATAAAAGCGACTTTTGAACGGACATTTTTTTCTAAAATCGTATTTACTAACGCAAATACGTGTTCACAAAATATGGAATTGTTCGATACATGTTCATTCCAATTTTATTAACTTATTGAATTATATTTATGATATACTATGTTCGCCCGCGACTTCGTTCGCGTGGAATTAAAAAAAAACAAAACTGAGTACCCTATGTGTTCCTCCAGGCTATCCTCTACGTCTATGTCAAATTTCATCGAAATCCCTTCAGCCGCTTAGGCTACAAACTCTAACAAACATTCATCCATCCATCCATCCATCCATCCATCCTTCCACCTATCTATCCATCCATCCATACATCCATCCATCCATCCATCCATACACCTAAACTTTCGCATTTATAATATTAGTATGATTTAACTATTTCTAAAACTATCATACTTCATACTAATATTATAAATGCGAGAGTTTAGATGGATGGATGTTCAGTTTGGAGTCTAAACGGCTTAATGGATTTCGATAAAATTTGGTATAGTTGTAGAGGATAGTCTGGAAGAACACATAGGGTACTTACTTTTGATTTTTTTAATACCACGCGGACGGAGTCGCGGGCGAAAGCTAGTTTCTAATAAGTCTTTTATTACAGCCTTATAAAGGTAAAATAGCTTAGATTACATTTTAATATCATATTTCTATTCAATTACTATATATTTACTATGCGAAATTTACTCTAAGAGTCAAATCATCTAAATTTCTGTGTGCAAATTAGTCGTGTATTTTCTATTTCGGACTTAAAAATATTTTAGTGATGAAAATATCGTTCATGAAATTATATCTTCACAGGGTATTGTATTTATTACGTAAAAATTAGTATATTGTCACTTTAATAATTTTGATTACGTGATTTAACTTTTTTGCATAGAAATAAAGCTTATATGTGCAAAAGTAATAGGGGGTGGTGAACCTTTTAAAGAAATGTTTACAGTTTGTCTGAATAAGATAGATTAGTTTGATAACGCATATGAAGTATCGAATTCAATTTATATGAAGGCAAATGCCATACTTAATAGACAAGGCACACAGCGAATAATTTTGAACTATCGATATTCGGTTTAAATAATTATCGAACTCAGCTAAAATTATTTTTTTGCTTTTCAACTAATTTAGAGGACAATTCTAGTATTGATTATAGTGTAGAGAATTTAGCGATGACAGATATAATAGCGAAATCCAATTCGATAACATACGGCGGTAGTAGTAATAAACATTTATTTGCTCTCATTATTTGTTATTGTCATTATTAATTTGATAAAACAGTGTTTTTTAATTCATAAGTTATAACTAAATCTATCGATTCCGACTTCTACAAGAATAAAAATCGAAAATCGATAAGATTCCTGTCTGTTTACACAACCCATCCCTACTAAATTTAAAATGAATTGTCGAACTAATCTAAATTATTTAGACACACTAACTGCCGTTTGTGATTTTTTTGTACTAATAAAAAATATTGCATTGATCAAAGTTCATTATTACTAAAGAGATAGTAACCGAAATAAAGAATAATATTAGTTGTACTGTTAATATTTTTTTTTAAGAAAATATGAGATAAAGAAATGTTTCTAATAAATAAAAAAATAAGTAACTGAATTGGTAAATTTTAAATTTTATATATTTCAAGTGATTTTGACAGGGGAGGGGACCCTTAGGTTGGAGAGTGTCCCTTTTCTGCGCGTCCCCTCCTCTGACTTAAAGGTAGGTAAATACAAACATATATCTAAATGAAAATATAAATATTTGTTAATGAAAAAGTTTCACTAACCTGTAAATTATTTAAATTTACGATGTTAGTGAAATTATTCAGAGCTTAGACTTAGGTCAGATTTTATGAACTAGAATTGTTTAGTTTTGTATTTTGTATACGAATAAATAAATTTATTAATTAATCAAATGTTTTATTTACTATTTCAGAGACAGTATAATTTTTTTACACTATCTTTGAAATAGTTGGTTCGGAATTGGTTTGCGTGTAATTAAAGTTTCGACAAAATCAGTTTAATCAGAGATCACGCCCGGTGTAATACCGCGACCACACAGAAGACAGTCGTGAAGTGGAAGCAATTCCGTGTTTCATCAGATGAGTGTGGTACCGGAGGCCTGATTTAAGTCCCTTTCTCTTTACCATCTTTTTTTTATAAGGAGAAGTTGGGAAGGGGAAGTGAATTTGACGGCGGAAAAGATGCATAGGAAGGGGAAATATCTTTATGTGTGTCTCCTCCTCCGTCGTATAAGGGTAGGCAACGCATCTGCAAATGCGGATGTCTATGGGCCGCGGTCGCTTCGCCACTGGCGGATTCTAGTGGCCTTTTGCTTGTTTGCCACCTTATGTTATAAAAGAAAAAAAAGTTTTCTGCGACAATTTTTTCAAAAATCCTGTTTTACTGAAGTGGAAACTATGTCATTTCATTACAATGTTACCAAAACTTATTTATCTGTTTATGTTACAAATTGAGTATGTTAGAAGTAGCGAGCTAGTATCGGCTGGCAGTCGACGACTCTCTCTGGCTCTCTCGTATCGGAGGCCAAGACCCACTTTGGATCCCTGCGCCAGTAAGAGTAAGTTTGAAAGTAGCGCCATGGTACATAAAATAAGGAGTAAAAGGTTAGCATGGTATGGGCATTTTATGAAGAGAGATGAATCGCATGTTACAAGGAGGGTTTATTCCCAACCGTCACCCAGCTGTCCCCACGTGAGAATATTAAGTTACATCTGTCCCACTATCACTAATAAGGTGACATCACCATTATGAAATTAATTTCAACCTCCATCTCCATCTCATCATCTTTTTATTCTCACCAGTCTTCACGTGGGGATAGAGCAGGGTGACAGTTGGGAATAATCCACAGAACGGTAGTTATGAGTGTGGTACTCCAGTAGAGGTAGACATAGAGAGATGGGTTGCGTAACAGGTGACATGATCAAGTAGGGAGTGACAGATGACGTATGATAGTTATGTGGAGGACAAAAACCTTTTGCGCCTTACGGAAGTAGGATAAGGAGAAATATGATTGAAATAGAACCTCGCATTGATATAGGAGTAAAAGAAGTGTTTTTTTTTATAAATAAAACAAGGCCCAGTACATTAATGACTTTATTTTTAAATATCAATTACATATTTGTTATTAATTATATGGTTTTTACATATTTTTTTGTTTATAATTATTTATGGGTTATAAAATATATCTTTACAGCATAACATTTAATGTCCAATAGCATCAATAACGAATAGTCGGGGAGGTGTCCAGAGTCACAAAGACAATATTTAAACGAGCAGTCGCAAACTTCGTTAGCAATAACAAAGTAGCCTATAATATGCGGGTCTATGTCAGCTACCCTCCAGTGAAGTCCAGTCGAAATCTGCCCAGCTGTTTAGGAGATAACCGGGAACAAATGCGGCTTGCGGACAGGTAGACAAAGTTTTTTTAAATGCAATTTTCGATATTATCTACATAAATATCTTCGCGAAATCTGGAATTTTACTTTTGATATAACAAACAGACACTCCGATCTTATTATATTTTAGAAGATGTTACATGTTAGAAATGTTTAATAAAAGAGTCTTCGTAAATAAGTAAGTGCTCATAATTTTAAGAGTAAATTTGTCTTTGTCACTAGCTGGACTTTTAAAAGAATAATAAAATTATCACTCGTCATTCACACACTCAATAAAACTTATCGTCACCGGAAACTCGTTTGACAGCTACCGGACATTGTCAAAACAAATGTCAACGCTTTCACTGAATTGCCAGTACTAAAATTAAAATAATTACCACATTTTCAACAAAGAGGTCACATCGTAAATTTTCGTTGTTCTAAACCATTATACGACTTAAAAATAGCGAAAATAATGGAAGAATAACATTTCAACGTCACTCGTCTACAGAAGGAACTTTCATGAGTTTCTCGTCCGTGTTAATTATAAGTCACAACCACGATTCCATTTTTATTCTTTCTTTAAATTGAAATTAATTAAAAAAATGTTTCATCTAATTCAAACAATTGTTCTAAATTGAGCAATGTTTTTTATAGAAGTGACAGTAAAACGTTATTCAACAAATTAGATTTATTAATAAGAAAATTTTGAAAAAAATCGCACATACCTATAGTGTTTTCAACATACGGTTAAAGGTTTCTTTGACCATAGAGAAAACAAAAACAGTAAAAAACTTTTGCTCCCAGAAATCTTTGAAAACTAATAATACAGCCACTCAGTGTCAATTTGAAGGAACATTCTTAACAAATAAATTAAAATCAGAAATTCAAAGCCATCTTAATCGTTCTCTATATCGTATACGGTGTAAATATTTAAAAAAGCGTGTCATAGACAAATCAAACAATATCTATTTCGCGCCAAAACTAATGTCAAAGATTATAAAACTGAGTTAATTTTAGAGGGAACATGTGTTTTGACATTTAAACAATTATCCAATGCTGTTCTCATATGAAACATATGAACGAATACAATAAACTTTTCTCATTAAATATGGAAAACTAAGATAAATCATGATACCCTGTCATTTCGATACACATTCACAAAACATATTAAATGCAATCTTTGGAGGCAGTAACATAAAATAAATTTGGCACTACGAGAGACGAAAAAAAACTATTTTCCCTTACTCTATCTTACTCTGTAATTAAAGCATCTCAATGTGATTACACATTTATGTATACATATATATAATAAAACTATATTTAATAGTTACTATTATCTTTTGTAATAAATTTTTTTCAATCTTTCGTCGCAGGTACACAAAAATCTCTAAAAAACTTAATAAGGGTTTAAAAACTTCAATAATACTGGGAAACGAATAAATCAACGGTTTAGAAATAGTTACCTCTCAATACAACTACTACTTAATACAAAAACGGATATATTTAGACATTTATCTGGTCTACACCGACTAGATTCGAGGCCATCGGGGGCATTTATGTCACACTTAGCCAATACAACTAGACAGTTATCCACTGGCGCCAGTTAGCCTTCATACTGTCTTAGTTGATTGCGCATTACTAACTGTACTGGACAAGTGTAAACCACAAAATAGAGTGAGACTGGGTTTTTATACGGTCGCATTCCGTCTCTCACTGCGCTTGTAATGACCCCGAGATCGAATCTAATCGATTTCACCGGATGAGTACGTAATCATAACCGTTTTTGTTTATAATTTTAAATAATTTTACTACGCCTACATTAAACATAATATATTGTATTTAATTCTTGTGGTTACGATTATTTTGTTAAACTTTTAAGGGCGGAATTACACAAATCACTACATATTTTATTTACAAACACCTGAAGCAACACTACGATATCTAATTTCTAGGATATAGAAATTAAATTAGTTTGGGAGATTATTTTTAGGGTTAAGCTGATATTTTATATCGGAAAATTAATTTAAATTCATCATCAACTTGCCCTTGTGCCTACGGAATGGCATAGTATGAAACTCTTCCATACATCTCTGTCAGTCGTCATATGAATTCACTCGTAAGCATATCCTCTTTCACACTTACTTTCTTCTGTCTTCTTTTATAGCCATCCACATTCATTCTCAATACTTTCTTGTTTACGTAATTTAAATTCATACAGAAAATCAAAGATAGATCAAAGTTCATCTCAGAGGGTTATCAAGAATATTTGTGAGAAGGTTTTCGTAATGTTATCATTACGTGTGTACAGCGCACCTAGCGGGCGTAAACTACACCAACAAATCTGATACTTTTGTCGATTACGTTACAATACGTTTGCGCAACTGTCACGTAAATATTCGAGATAGAACCTCAGATTTGACGAATTGACGTCGATATCATTGACATTTTTACTTATGTTTCCTTCTGTTAACATTTTGTTGGTTGGCATTATAATTATAGTTAATGTTTTTAAAAAACATAAATAATATAAATACATAAACATTATTTCGTACGATTACAATGCTGGATTTTCATTGGCAAAACATTTTTATATCTGTTATCCTATCTGAAAATTTGACAATGGAAACCCACGATTATAACGTTCCGTGAAAGCCTCCCAATACTAAAACTGCCATAATTCGTTAATTTGTCTTAAAATTATTTCCCTTGAGATAACCTAAAAGCAATTTAACTAAATGTGCGTTTGTTTTTAATTATGATATAGGGTTGAAATATTTATAATACCGTCAATAAAATAAATAACTATTAATATTCTATAGTCTTGTATTAAGCTGAATTAGTTAACATATGAATGTAAGGAAGAATTAAAAAATAACTTCATTCTCGCAAACCATTGAGCAAATTGAGCAAAGACAAAACGACTATTTTAACTACAAGCGTTTCACGAAGCCGTTTCATTTATAAAATAAATATTCACTTAATATTATATTACAACAATAAAAACAATTTGTACATCGACAAAAATACAAATCTCGAAATAAACAACTACACATAAATATCCATATAATACTTACATCGAATTATTACCGAAACATTATTTACAACCGATTCTAGTAACACTAGTTTTCTTCTAAATTTAAAAAATACAAATGTCACATGTCCGGCAGCGCCAGAAAAACACCACAACCAAACTGACAGATCGATATCGATTTCGATATTACATCGATTTTAACAACTGATTTCCGATTCACCGACAAATTCCCCGCCATTGCTACCCTGTTTTATTTTCTTTCCATTACCGATGTTAACTTCTCCGTAGTTTTTATTTTTCTTTTTACCGTTACTTCCTGAACTGGATGACGCGTTGTCACTGTCAGCGTATGGCACATCTGTCATCGGACCATTTAGTAAACTGGCAGCAGAACTTGATTGTTTTAATTTACATTTCTCCTCTTTATGTTCAGATTCCTTCGGTAAATCGTGTATTATCGCTTTTTTCGGATCAATCTGTATAGTTTTCGATTCGGAAAATTTATTTGGTGTCACAACATTTATATACGAAGGTACGATGTTCATTGTTGTTAGGTTAACTGAACCACTGTTTTTCTTTAGTGCGTTTAAATTCTGTTCCAATTGTGCCGCATCTAAGCAAAGTGGTTTCGGTTTTGGGACTAATTTAGGCGGTTCTTTAGTCGGCCATGCGTTAATTCTGGGTGGATCAGGTGACGCGACTGGTGCTTTTTTCTTTTCTATTGTTAAATTTTTATTGTTCTTCTCAATTATATTAGCTTCTATCGCTAACGATAGTATATTTTCCGGTGGCTTCGGTGATGTTGGTGTTATACTTATCAACTTGTCAACCTAGAAATATATTATGTTCATAGTACAAGTGTAAAGAAATACAAAAAAATATCGATAGATATATCGCTAATCCAAAGTCACTTTATCTATGGGGTAGTTAACATTTAAATACCAAAGTTAAGAGAAATTGAGGACTCGCAGTCCTTTAGCACACAAATTCATTACATGAACCCTTGTCTTCTAGTCTTGGGTAGTACACGTACGATGTACTAAAAAGTGATGTTACTCGGACATTTGGCACTTTTAGTACAGTATTACATAATATCGGTGTTTGCTTCCTCGTTGTTGGATTTGATTGTATATTTGCTAGATTGAAGCATCCACCTTCGGTAATGAGAATCAAAAGTGGTTTTATCCACTTTATAACTTAAATTTATTTTCGCTAATAACATATGTTTGACCATGCCTAAAATTTGATGTGAAGCTATATGTAACATTCGTTATATTCTATTCATGTTATTGTCTTCTCACAAGTCTGAAGTACTAAGGATACTAAAAGTGTGTACTAGTACGTTTTCCCAATTGTACTAGTACGGTGCGCACTTGCAGATATCCGATTAAGCCCAAGACTATTGTCTTCTGTGTGGTCTTGGTATTGCAAGTTGCGATATTCTAGGGGTTCTATCATTGTTGAATTTGATATTTAATACTCACGGCGGGTCCAGTGTCGGCACTCGGTTTGAGGTCCGCAGAGTTAGTGGACCTCGGCTCGGTGAAGGAAGTCTCCCAGATGACTGGCTTCTCGTCTATTTCTGACGCGCTGTCGTCATCTAAAGACGCTCCTTCGACCGAGCTTAATAATCTGGAAATAAAAATTTTCGGAGTGTAACATAGGCATTTTTTTAATTTCACGCGAACTTAATCGCGAACACCTAGTAAGTAATGAAATTCATCATCATCATCATCTCCTTATCCTACTCCCGTAGGGTCAGCGCGACGGGTTTTTGTCCTCCACATAACTCTATCATACGTCATCTCACTCATCACTCCCTTTTTGATCATGTCACCTTTTATACAATCCATCCATCTCTTTCTAGGTCTACCTCTACCGATGTACCTCCACACTCATAACTAACGTTTTCTTTGTAACATGCGATTCATCCCTCCTCATAACATGCCCATACCATGATAACCTTTTACTCCTTACCTTCTCTACTACTAAGTAATGAAATTGATGATATCATTTGATTAAAAAATCTGCAGATTTGTTGGACAAATGAAATAAGATGTTTAAAATTTACCTGTCAGTAGAATTAGACGGCAGAAACTTTGTGTTTGTCCGCGTCTCTGCGGCGGCGGGCGGGCAGCCAGCAGCGCCGCGCCGACTGCCGCCGCGAGACGCCGTTGGAATGTTGCCATATTCTTGTGATGCTACAAATTGTTAGTTATTTAAGGATAGAGCAAAAGCTCAGTGCAGAGGGTACCGTTGCGTTCCGGAAATCCCGGGACCCTAACATCACACCTAAGGCCGGCCATTTTTATTAAAAAATGATGGATGTTTCTTAGAGTTTGTAGCCTAAACTACTCAACGGATTTCAATGAAATTTGACATAGATGTAAAGTATAGTCTGGAAGAACACATAGGCTACTCACTTTTGGTTTTGTTTGCTGAGTCGCGGGTGAAAGCTAGTAGATAATATTTGCAGTATTAATCCTATGTTATTAGTTATATATGTACCTTTCAGAAGAGGTAGATATTGTGAATCCTCCATTTCTGGCTGGTCCGGCGCTGCCGTCGGCTGTTTGCTATGAGCCGTCTCCGGATCCGTTATGCTATAACAAAATGTCAGTAAACCGTTCTTTGTTGACCCTTCTCAGTGTTGCCAGTGCAATATTTCATTTACTACCAGCAAATAAGCAGAGATTTGCTCAGATTTATGCCAATTGTGGTTGAAAATAAAATAAAGTCATGCAAATTTTTCTATAATTTTATGCTCGCTCAAAAGCTACTAAATTGGTTCTTTTTACTCGCTTTAATTTTTGCAGGCAACCCAGTGTCATAAACAGTCTACTATACTATCTTTATTTTTATTTAGATATCTTTTTAAATTAGTTCTTTAGCAGTTTTAAGGTTTTGAAAACTTATGAATCGGCATGGGTTTGCTAATCATGCATGTTAATGCTTTGTTACTAACAATGGTAATTTTGAAGTAATTGAAAATTAACTATTACTGTGATAAAATAAAAAAGATTTCGGGTTTTTTTTTAAGTATGTGCAGCATTATTGATATAAGTGTGAATAGCATTAGAATGCTACAAAATTACCATGAAGTTACTATGTGCAGCTAGTTGTTGGTATTTAATACGAGGTAAAAAACAGGTCGGACGGCCATTTCGAACCAGGATATCAATGAAATATTAAAAAATCAAAGATGTCAATTTACTTCTAGAACAATAAGCTACCAAAAGTGAAGAACTATCCTTTTGAGGTATTTGATATAATATTCGAAGAAATATCCAGTTCAAATTGATCGTTAGTGGTTACCTGGGGTCGGAAGGCGCGTCCAGCGGCGGCTTGGGCACCAGGTAGTCGGCGGCCGCAGACCGCTGCCAACACCACACACGTCACACCGGCGCCCCGCGCCCGGCAAGGGAGATCGCTACATGGTCTTTTAGCCTATTTATAGCCTGGTCGTCTTTTACCTAAGCTATTTATAACCCGGTCGCCTTTTAGTCGAGCTATTTATAACCCGGTCGTCTTTAAGTCGAACTTTTTATAATCTGGTCGTTTATCTAAGCCATGTCTAGATTTTTATAGCCTGGTTAATTTTTAGTTAAACTTTAGCTCGTTTCTAATTTTTTGAGGGTTACACTCAAACTTTTTATGATCTATATTGTTTGTTATAAAAAGTTTTCGTTACAAATAGTAACTTTAATATTTTTCTTTGATAATATGCATGAGCATGGTTAGACTCAGTTTTTAACTTTTTGGAACAAAATACTAATAAATTTTATTTATGTATTTCAAATGTAAAATAAAGTTGCTATAGTAATGTACAGATTTGTTTCAATTATAAACGACCATGTCTCTGTTTTTATTTTAAATTTTATGACTACCTTTTAAAATATTTTGACTTTTATTCAATAACGCCTATCAATACATTTTATTAACAAGCAAGCGGTCGATATTTTGTTAATCACAACTAAAAGACCATGGGAAACGCATCGTTTTCATTTTATTCGAAGCGATCTCTCCGAGCCATACCACTTATTATCTAAGCGTGCATTTAACAATGAGCTTTGTAAAATATCTGCCACTTGTCAAATGTCATAGACGTTGACATTTGTTTTTTTTACAAAACCCATATAAAGGGACAAAGGTAAAAAGATAAATCTTCGCTATAGCTACTAGGCAAGTAAACACTTAACCTTTAGAAGTATTTTCAATATAAAATGCGAGATTCTTTGAAATGTGCAAGTGAATGATGTAATATTTTCTGTACAATATCTTGTATCTGTCCATGCAAATGGATGTATCATTCCAATGAATCTCTGTCTAACTACAGGGGTTTTCTAAATTAATCTATGCGCCTCATTCAAGGATATAGTTAGAAAATTGAAAAAAAAAATGGTAGGATTTCATGCGAACTCGCAAGCACGGTTTATTTTCACGGATCTAACATCGACAGTATTTATTTGTTTTAATTAAAAAGAACCCAGTTACTTGCTTCTAGTAGCCAGAGCGAAAACATTTTCCAAAAAAAAAAACATGGTTATTAAATTAGTGTTTTCTTTTACAATTATTTATTGTTGAAGGACTTTAAATCACTTTATTAAATGATTTTTTTAATTAAATTTACTTTTTCAATGATTTATTACATTATAATTGTAGGCGTTATTCTAAAATGTAAGGACAAGGAACTCTCGTATTAATACTGCATATTAAAACAACTTGTGCTATATAAGTTAAATAAAAAAAACGATTAATTCCGATCACATTTAAGAAACAATAGATTATTGAATTCTATATTTAAAATTGACAATGTTGCCAGTGTTAAAATCAAACCTACTAAAAAGTAACATTTTTAGTATAACGCCTGTAAACACTGGAAACACCTGTATATTGTTTTCTCTGTTATGACAGAGATAGCAATATTGCGCGGATGTTTACCTGCGAGGCGCTGTCGTCGTTCACTTGCACATCTGCGGCCGGGACCAGCAGCGAGCGCAGTACCGGTATAGGCGCGCTCACTATTTCTGGATCCTGTACAAATATATTCAAAGATATACGACACATGCATATGACTAACACACGAGTAGTTTTGTCTGAACAGTCCAATCTACATCTATTATCTATACATATAATAAAATTGAAGTGTCTATTTGTAATAAAAAAAAGAAAAAATCCAAATTTTGGGAAGATAATGTATGTGTGTTGCTGATAACGAAAGTCGCATTTAAAAAAAATTGTCTGTCTGTGTGTCCGCAAGCCGCGTTTGTTCCGGGTAATCTCCGAAACGGCTGGGCCGATTTTGACGGGACTTTCACTGGAGGGTAGCTGACATAGACAGGCATGTTATAAGCTACATTTTTTTGTATTCCTCGCTGTCAAAATGGCGACCGGAGCGCTATCTCTGAAACGGGTGGACCGATTTAGACGGCACTTTGACTGAAAGATATCTGGTAGAAGGTAGACGCGGGAATGTGATAGATGACTTTTTTTAATACGCGCTAACGAAGTTTGCGGGCGACAGCTCGTCGTAAATAAATCTAATTGGGGATTATTCAGTTCTCAGTTTTGTCTCTGCACTTTGGATTAGGCGGGGTTTGTTTAATAGCATAACAAGAGTCATTTTGTATATACCGCGTATTTGCACTACTATATATAAGTATGACTATGGCCTAGTCACCCTATATTAGGGTAGGCTCCGAGCCCCTCGGTGGGGACGTATAGTGAGCTGGTGATGTGATATTAAGTATGAGTACTAAAGGTGTTACTAAAACCAAATCTCATAGACATAACAAAAAGATAATCTTACTAATATTATAAACTAGCTGTTCCCATGCGACTTCAGCCGCATTAAATTATTAAAATTTCATTTCACTGTTTACATGTGTCAAATTATGAATTACAAATGTCAAAATGACATGACATGTCAAACCATGGCAACCTTGCTTCCTTAATGTTGGCAACAACTTATAGTCTCTTTCCTACATTAGGGTTTTTGTTCAAAATATTTACCCCTAAGTTTAAGAGCGTGAAAATATATAGCCTAAAGCGTGACGTAAGTGTAGGGCTTTTTATTAAAAAGAGAGTTATTCAAAAAAAATGCTGTAATTACTGACATCTTAGGTAACAAAGAAGTGTGTGTTTACGCTTTATTTTCATAGTATAGATAAGAAAGTTTGGATGGATGTTTGTTAGAGTGTGTAGCCTAAACGGCTGAACAGATTTCGATGAAATTTGGTATAGATGTAGAGGATAGTCTAGAAGAAAACATAGGCTACCTAAATTGTTTTTTGTTTGTAAAAGTGTTATTTATAAACTTACTTGCAAGAACCGCTGCAGTCTATCAAACATTTGTGCGAAAGCCGGTCTCTCTACAGGGTTAGGGTTCCAGCATTCGCACATTAGTCGATAAATCTCTTGAGGACATCCTGAAATAAACATTACATAAATGTATAACAATAGTACAAGGAAACATAGGATATATTAAAAAATACAGACTTAATAAAAAAATATTTTTTATAAGCAAAGTATGTGTAATATTGAGGTTTTTTTTAAACAATAAATGAAAAAAATACATTACAAATTACAATATCTAATGTTTATTAAAACAATTCTCACAATAACAACATTTAAATTTTGTTATTGCTTACTGAAATATCAGACCATAGGTTCCCAAACTTATTTCGTCTAACAACAAATTTAAAATACATTTATTTTGTACCACCAATTTTTTTTTATCTTGAATTTTTTTTTAGTCAATATATATGTAGGATTGGAATATAAAACGATAGACGATGGTGTGAAACGGAACGGATGTGCGGGGAAAGAAGTGAGAGGAGAGTTTTGACAGATGACAGATCGGAAAGTAAGACGACTGGTGTGTGCGTGACCTTAAAGTGTTAATTATTATAATAAAGGAAATAAATACATAAATACGAAGAATCAGACTTTCATTAGAAGCTAAACAAAAAGAGTCCCGCATATATTAGTCTCGGCTGGGGTTTAAAAGAGTCTCTTTTTTACTAGAGAGAATAATAACAATGCTTTACAATATAAATAAGAGTATATTTTATAAAAAAAAATTAACAATAATCAACAGCGACAGTCAATTTTTTGAGCCTCTTACTATCTAAGGGTCCAGCGCCTGCAGAAGGCGTTATTACCTTAGAAAAAACTTAGACCATTGATTAGGAGATATTTGATTACTTTTATTTTGTAATTTATTTAACACTAATAGTACTTACCATAAGGCTTCTCCAGCCTTCCACCACCAGAGACCATCTCCATAACCTCTCTGTTGGTGCACCCTGTATACGGCATCATGCCCAGAGAGAACACCTCCCAGAGTAGAACGCCGAACGACCTGTGTATAGGGTTCCCCAAATTATGTCAACAAAGAAATATAAATTCCTAGGTGTAAAGAGTACAATGTACAGTATACACGAATCACTAAAACCTCGCAATCTAATAATCACTATATGTTATGTTACCCCTCCTCTCACCCCTAGAGAGTCGTAAATTGTAAAATAACTATGTACGAGTATTTACTCGAATTCAAAAACTACAGTACCTAAAATTCCTAAAGCACCACATACATAACTTAAAGAACTGTAAGTTCTTTATTAATAAAATCGGATCACATGTATTTTTGGAATAAAGAAGTATTCATACTACCCCCCTCTTTATCATAGATCATTGATCTCCCCGTCTAGTTCTTCGGTCTCCCCCTCTAGATCATTGGTCTCCCCCCTAGATCATCGATCCCCCTGTATAAAGACATGATCTATCATCTCTCCTTCCTAGATTATCGATCTCCCCCCTAGATCATCGATCCCCCTCTATAGAGACATGATCTATCATCTCTTCTCCCTAGATCATCGATCCCCCTCTCTAGAAACATGATCTATCATATCTCCTCCCTAGATTATCGATCTCCCCCCTAGATCTAGATCATTAGTCTCCCCGTCTAGTTCTTTGGTCTCCCCCAAAATCATCAATCCCCTCTAGTCCATCGACCTCCCCCTTTGATCATCGGTTCCCTCTAGATCGTCTAGCAACGACAATGGTTCTAGAACACAAATTACCTTATACTTACCAGACATCAGTTTTGATAGTAAATACTCCATCAATATACGCTTCTGGTGGCATCCATTTAATAGGTAGCATGGCTTTCCCCCCCTTTTTGTAGTATTCAGCGCGGTACACGTCACGAGCCATGCCGAAGTCGGCTATCTTTACAACGCGGCCTGGACCTCGGGATGTTAGCAAACAATTCCTTGCTGCTATGTCCCTGGTAATAAATATATATAGATATATGTATAGAAATAAAACTAGATTTCACCCGCGACTTCGATCGCGTGAAATGATATCAATGACAAATATCGAGTTCCGTTCAGTTAATGATACAAACTCCTAACATCCTAATCTTTGGCATTTATAATCATACTAATATTATAAATGCGGAAGTTTAGATGGATGGATGTTTGTTAAAGTTTGTACCCAAAACGGCAGAACGGATTTGGATGAAATTTGGTATTGATGTAGAGGATAGTGTGGAAGAACACATAGGCTAATCACTTTTGTTTATTTAAAATTCCACGCAGGCGGAGTCACGGGCGAAAGTTAGTTTATAATATTAGTAAGATGTTTGGATGGATGGATGTTTAAAGTTTATAGCCTAAACTGCTGAACGGATCTCGATGATTGTCAGATGTAAACAATTCTGGAAGAACACATGTTACTTTTGATCGCGGATAATTACGGTTCCTGTGGGATACACTTTAATTGTTCATGTTTACTCTATAATTCCGCCATCAATATAACCCATGGGATACTTTCATACTTAAAAAATGTCAGATTCCCGTGGGATAAACAGTTCTTAAGACTAGCCGGATGAAGTCTAGTACATATTTGAGCAGATTGTCGCGGGCTCAGTGGTTACTTGACTTATAATCTGGTCCTGGGTTAGAATTTTATCAGTTTAAAAGACGATCTCTAAATGAAATTTGTGATATAAATGGATATTAGTCTTTAGCATATAAAAAACTTACCTATGTATAAATCTCAAGCCTTCTAAATACCGGGAACCTTTACAAACGTCCAAAGAACATAGTATAAGATCCTTCATAGTGAGCGCACTCGCTCGCTCCGGTTTGGGACGACTCTCTCGTAAGAAATTCTTCAAATCCCCTCCAGCGAGTAACTCTAGGACTATGAACCTACAAACAATTATTACAAGGTTTAAAAGCTATTTTAGACTTAAAGGACTCTAGTAGACCAGGCCATTATAGATAGACTAGCTGATCTCGTGCAGCTTCATCCGCGTGAAATTATAAAAACTTCATTTGATTGTTGACATTTGTCTAATTCTCAATTGCAAATGCCAAAATTACTGTCACCATATCCTTGCTTCCTTAATGTTGGCAGCTTGTAGTTTATGGTCCCTTTCGCACTTTAAGGTTTTTTACAATTTATTAACCCCCAAAGTTTTGATGACATATTTTTTTACGCGTTCGTCTTTTTGTTTTTAGTAAATAAATTTAAAATAGATATTGTGTTTTCTAGTTTTTGTAAGTGTTGTAATGTTTTAAATAGATTAAGGACCTCTCCCAGTATTGGCTGATAGATGCTCAGATAGTTTAAAAATGACAATCAGATAAGGTAACAACATCCAATATTTCCATCACAAATACACGTTCGATTGTTATCAGACATATTATAATTTAGTGGAACAGGCACTTATTTTATTATTATTAAATTTCTACGGCCGATGATAATAGAATTCTATTTAGCTTACCTAGGATGTCTATCAAAGCAAACACCAATCAGATGTACCACATTGGGATGGTTGAATTTCGCCATAATCGCTGCTTCCATAAGAAAATCACTCTCCGCTTGTCCAGTTGATAATTCTGGTAAAGTTTTAACAGCGACTGGCATCTCCACTGTGTCTCCAGTACGATGTCTATACAGACCTTGATAAACTTCACCAAACGCACCTTGACCTAACGCCCTGGAAAACAAAACAAACCTATCTGTATAGATATTTTATGCTAGCTTTTGACCGCGACTTCGCATGCATCAAATTAAAAAAAACAGTCTATGTTATTCATAGATAAATCACCTTTCTAATGGTGAAAGAGTTTTCAAATCGGCCCAGTAGTTTTTGAGTTATTTCAATACATACACAAAATACAAATCCTTCCTATTTATAATCTACGAAATCATGAATATCTTTTGATATTTGATTATAATAGGTGAACAGACACTCCAATTTAATTATATGTATAAAGAAATAAATCGTTTAACACCATGAAGAGACAAAAAATCGAATCATAACATATTGTAACCCTAAAGTGTAACTTGACACTTACTTGACAAGTTTCAAGCTCTCCCTGGAGACCTTTGGTAGACCTCTGACATCCATCCCTCGCGGCATCACACCCTCGCTGCCGTAATGAGGGTTGAAATTCATAAAGTTTTCATTCCCTCCAGGAGCTTGTCTAAGTCGATGAAGTTGAACGTCTTGGTCCAGAATACGCTTCTGAGATAATGCAGCTTGTCTATTATGCTGGTATCTAGCATCTATGGAGGAAACTTTTATTGAAAAACTAGCTTTCGCCCGCGACTCCATACGCGTGGAGTTAAAGAAAAGTAGCCTTAAAGACTGGCTATGTCAAATTTCATCAGGATACGTTCAGTCGTTTGCTACAAACTAACAAATATCCATCGAAACTTTCGCATATATAATATTAGTAAGATGTTACAGATAACGTAGCTTTTTAATGGTGTAAGATTTATAGTTTGTCTAAATAAGATTAGTTTGATAAATGACGCATATGAAGTATCGAATTCAATTTGTATGAAGACAAATGCCATACTTAATAGACGGGTACCGTAGTGACGAAACACGCAGAGAACAATTTTGAACTATCGATATTCGGTTTAATAATTATCAAACTTAACTAAAATTATTATTTTCTTATTATCTAATTTATAGGATAATTCTAGTATTGATTATAGTGTAGAGAATTTAGCGATGACAGAAATAATAGCGAAATCCAATTCGATTACATACAGCTGTAGTAGTAATAAATAATTATTTACTCTAATTATTTGTAATGGTTCTGCAGGTCATTATTAATTTGAGAAAACAGTGTTTTTTAAACCATAAGTTATAACTATGAATCTATAAATTTCAACTTCTATAAGAATAAAATCGGTAAGATTCATGCCTTTTTTTAAAACATAAGGTGGCAAACAAGGAAGCGGCCACCTGATTCCGCCAAAATGGCGAAGCGACCGCTGCCCATAGACATCCGCAATTGCAGATGCGTTGCCTTCACTTATCCAACGGAGGAGGAGAGGAACATAAAGAGGATATTTCCCCTTCCCATGCATTTCCTCCACCGTCAAATCCACTTCCCGTTGCCATCCTCTCCTTTAATAAAAAGGTGGCAAAGAGAAAAGGGACTTAAATGAGGCCTCCCTGATTTACACAACCCATCCCTACTAAATTGTCAAACTAATCTATCTTATTACCTAGTCTTTGTGTATGTATAACGAGGTGTTGCCCGCGACTTCGTCCGCGTGGTATTAGAAAACATACGAACTATATAAATAACAATAAGCTACGTATCCCTCGAGAACCGAACATTTCTTTGGGATGAAGCTTATCCCATGTGTACTCCAGACTTTGTTTTATATCTGTGCCAAATTTCAATACGAAATGTTGAACCGTTGCAGAATGATCGAGTAAACATTAAAAACTAAATTAATGAATCTCACGGGAACCGTGATTATTCCCGGGATAAAAAGTAGCCTATGTGTTCTTCCCAACTATACTCTAAACCTGTGCCAAATATAATAAGATGTGTATGTATGTATGTATGTATGTATGTATGTATGTATGTATGTATGTATGTATGTATGTATGTATGTATGTATGTAGACTTACACATTAATAGACAGGCGCCGACGATGAAGCCTAGTACAATTATGGTAATAAAGCCTATCACCGAAAGCGTTTTCCAATGTTGTTCCGGCGGCGCTCCCACTACGAAATAAATTCAACAATATTAATTTTTTAATATAATAAACCGTATATTAATCTGTTCTATGATTGCTCGCGATTTCCTTTACGTGATATTAAAAAAAAATAACACATATAGACGAATAGAGTACCTCCTTCTTTTGGGAAGTCGGGCAAAGGTTACCTTTCTAATGGTGAAAGAGTTATTCATATTAGCCCAGTAGTTTTTGAGTTATTTCAATACAAAAACACAAATCTTTACTCTTCATAATATTGCTAGCTGTTGCTCACGAGTTTGTCCGCGTGAAATGAGAAATATAGCCTATGTTATTCACAGATAAATTACCTTTCTAACGTTGAATTATTTTTTTAAATTGGCTCAGTAGTTTTTGAGTTATTTCAATGCCTTACAGATTTACAGTTTACTGATGCCTTAATCGACGGATGAGACGCACATAAAGAGGATATTTCCACTTCCTATGCGTCTCCTTTGTCAAATACATCTCATCTGTCCTCTTAAGAAAGGAAAAAACAAATTAATTTATTGACTTACATATACACTTGGTTGGGTCATTTTTGTCATAACTCCAATCCACCGGACAGTAACATGTCACCTCGCTGCGATACTCGTTCAAAGCGATACAACGATACGCGCAACCGCATTTCTGGTGACGAATTAGTGTGTTTTAGTTGTATTTCTTCATTTTTTTATAAGAGAAGGAGGCAAATGTGGGAAAACAGAGGACACCAGAAGAAAAACATATGCGTTGCCAGGCTTTGAGGGAATGATAGGCTCGCTTCTTGAAGGACCCCAAGTCGTAGTTTTTAAATACCGCCGAGGACAGACCTTTCCACAACGCTGCTGTGCGGAAAATGTGGAATGCGCTTCATAGTAATAGCCGAAATGGAAAGCGGTCGCTGCCCATAAACATCCGCAATTGCAGATACGTTGCCTACCCTTCATTGATGGAGGAGACGCACATAAAGAGGACATTTCCCCTTCCTTCGCGTCTTCTCCACCGTCAAATCCACTTTTCCTTCCAATCCATCCCTCTTAAGAAAAGGGTGGAAAGGGAAAGAGTTTAAAATTAAGCCTCCGGCACCACACTCATCAGAATGTACGCGGAATTGCTTCCACTTCACGTCTGTTTTCTCTGTGGTCGTGGTATTGGTGGGGGCGAGCCGACCCTAGAGTGCGAAGATGTTAAAACAGGCTCTACCACTGTTAAACTGTGTGTGTGTGTGACTCACATGTGCAGCAGGCAGCACCAGCACCTCTCCCGGTCCTGTCCGGGGCGCGGAGGTGACGCGCGTGTAGCCGCGCACACTACGGGCAGGGTCCACGTAGGACCAGCCGCCGCCCCCGTGCTCGCCTTCACCCTCGTTAGTATTACCACCTGGATGACACTTAGTGTTTACTACCTATGCCCATACCGCATAATGTTACTGTATTTTATTATTGCCATTTGTGATGACAAAGAAGACTCTTTATATTGGCTGAAAATTGTCTCTTTTCCGCTTGAAGATTTTGTTTAATTTACTTACCCTAAAGATTAATAGCGTGAAACGATAGAAGTACGATATGCCGTCTAATATTTCACATCAGTATCTCTCTCGAAACACTTTAAACAAGTGACTAATGGAGTAGTTAAGTTGGAAAGGTACACCAATTGTATGTTCAAAGTACACAACCAAATTAAATATACTGTAGACAAAAAATACAAAATGTAGAAGAACATACAGATGACAAGCGTATACAGCGCTCAAAATATTTTTTTTAATATAACACGAGCTGTCGCCCGCAAATTTCGTTAGTGCGGATTAAAAATAAGTCATCTATCACATTCCCGCGTGCATCTACCTTCTACCAGGTATCTTCAAGTCTCCAGTCAAAGTCCCGTCCAAATCAGTCCACCCGTTTTAGAGATAGCGCTCCGGTCTCCATTTTGACAGCGCGAAATTAAAAAACTGTAGCCTATAATATGCCTATAATAGTCCCGTTAAAATTATCCTAGCCGTTTTGGAGATTACCCAGAACAAACGCGGCTTGCGGACAGACAGACAGATAAAACATTTTTTAGCAGCACCGCAAATATATCATCTTCCCTGAAATCTGCAGATTATCTCTTGACATTACAAACAGACACTCCAATTTTATTATATGTATAGATAGATAAACATTGAATAAAAATGTGCAGTTCATAGCTATTCTGCGGTTTCCTTAAACATTTACAAGTACTACTAAAATACTAACCTAGCCATCCGCCACCACCACCACCTCGTCGGCAACCACCGCCGCCCCCGCCGAAGCCGCCGTGCGCACCCCCAGAGCACGCCATCCCGCCCACCGCGCCCTCGGGCAGCGCCCCGCCGCGAGACACCTCGTGCCCCGGCGTGCTGGGGCCCAGCCGCGACACCCAGCCCCCGCCCGCCCCTGCACCCCGCAACACACACTCACTTACAAGAAAACAGGAACACCTACTTTATAAGTACAATCGCGGAAATCCGCGGTGTTCCACTTTGGGAAAAACTAGCTGTTCCCATACGACTTCACCCACAAAAAAATTAAAAACTACATTATATTGTTCACATTTGTCAAATTATCAATTGCAAATTTCAAAATGACATGACATGATGTCAAGCAACCTTACTTCCTTGATGTTGGCAACAACTTATGGTCTCTTTCCCACATTAGGGTTTTTATCCAAAATATTTACCCCTAAGTTTAACGGCGTGAAAATATATAGCCTAAAGCGTGACGGAAGTGTAGGGCTTTTTATTAAAAAAAGGGTTATTCGAAAATATGCTGTGATTGATGACATCTTAGGCAACAAAGAAGTGTGTGTTTACGCTTTATTATAATAGTATAGAAGTATATATAACCCTTTCTACAAATAACTAATTGGATAAAAATGCAATAAAACAAGATAGTAACATAGCCTATGTTACTCAGTGATAACATAGCTTTTTGAAATCGGTCCAGTAGTTTTTGATTTATTTAAATACATACAAAATCCACAAAATACAAATCTTTCCTCTTTACAATATCAGTTAAATTAGCTGTTGCTCGCGACTTCGCACGTGTGAAATTAATATGCAATACAAAGTATAGCCTATGTTACTCACAGATAGTCATTTGTAATGGTGAAATAATTTTTAAAATCGTCCCAGTAGTTTTTGAATTATTTCATTAGAATCAAATAAAGTTTTCCTCTTTATAATATTAGTATAGACAAGCTGTTACTCGCCACTTCGCTTGCGTGAAATTAAAAAATATATCCTATGTTACTCACAGATAAATTACTTTCCAACAGTGAAAGAAATCAGCCCAGTAGTTTTTGAGTTATTTCAATACATACAAAAATACAAATCTTTCCTCTATATAACATTAGTATAAGTATATGATAGATTAGCATAGATTTAAATATCTTTAAAGACACACGTTAACTGTTTGACTGCTAATACTTACCAGAAGTCTTCCCCGGTGGTCCGTACATATAACCTGACTCGGGAGTGGAGTTTGTACGTCCCTTAGCGTGCTGAGAGCCGTCGTCATGAAACACGCCAACACTCAGCCCGCCGCCGCCGCCAGCGATCAGCAAAGGATATAATTTTTTTTCTTTGTCAATCTATATAAATAAACGTCTTTATTTGATATACCTTTCCGAATCAGAGGGGACTCATTTTTGACTAAACTATCGCACAATGCGATTTTCTAGTCTCGCAATCAACTGTTCAGTTGCACAACTAAAAATCGAGTAATGCACCTCCTCATAAGCTCATAGGAATCAAAACTTGAAACAGTTGTGCGATAGTTTGGTTGAAGATTGCACGCTCTAAGATTTGCTGGAAATCGTTCTAAAGAGTTTTAGATAATCGCTTTCTAGTCAAACAATTAAAAGACAAACAATTACTAATTTTATGTTTTTTAGCATTGTTTATTAGACTAGTTGTTTCACGCGACTTCGTCCGCGTTATATTAGAAATAATAAGCCCATATTACTCACAGATAAAATACCTTTCTAACGGTGGAAGAATATTTAATATCAACCCAGTAGTTTTTGAGTTACAATACATATGAAAATTCAAAAATACAATTCTTTCCTAAACAATAGTATAGATATAGATATAGATAGAATTGCCTTTAAATCTTAAAATCCATCAGATGTACCGCATTCCAGAAAGAGGAAAAGGTTCAAAATAAACAGGGTTTAAAACCTTAATATATTAGTGATGTTTTTTATGTTTTTAAACAATTAATATAATTCTTCTAGGGAAACATTCTACTAGGGAACTCGCCAGGAATACGCGCGAATAACCAATCCTTCAAATGACATTGACAGCTGTCAGCTAGGGACGGACGTTTATGCCGTAAATCTAGTGTTGCGCCAATTCTACAGCACGGTACTAATTTTCTTCTAAACAATATCGAGTAAAGTACTTACCACAAAAACGTACGTTGCACCTCCTCCTCCTCCTCCGCCGTCGTTCACCTGCGTGTTGCGGACTTCGTGCGTCTTGCTTGTGTATATTTGTTGTGTTTCGTTCCTTCTAGAACATTCTTGAGACTCCTGCGCCGACAGAGTCTAGAAGATACGATTATGTCGAACTTAAAATAATGTATGTTAAATATTGTAAAAGACTATAACTTCTTCCTTCTTGACTATCTCTACTTAATTTAAAAACTAGTTGCTTGTGACTTCGTCTACGTGGAATTTAAAAAAAAACATTGTAAAATATAGCCTATGTTACTCACAGATAAATTACCTTTCTAACGGTGAAAGAATTTTTAAAATCGACCAGGTAGTTTTTGAGCTTATTCATTACAAACAAAGACACAACGTTTTCCTCTTCATAATATTAGTATAAGATGAAAAAATATAGCCTATGTTACTCACAGATAAATTACCTTTCTAACGGTGAATGAATATTTTAAATTGCCCCAGTAGTTTTTGAGCCTATCCATTACAATCAAAGTTTTCCTCTTTATAACATTAGTATAGATTTCTTTTACCAAATCATATAGCGTTGTCTCACCTTCTTACAAGCGTTAAGTCCCGGCTGTCCCACAAGTACGTAAAGTATTTCTCCAAGATGCAACTCGAAGAGTGCCCTCGCTTGTGCGCCGTGAGACACGCCCGCCCACGCCGAGCCCAGCCCGCCCGACCCGCCCGTGGCTATTATACTGGCGGGGAAAGGGTTAACTATCAACAAATATACTAGAATAAAAGAAAAAGTTGCATTTAATGTGTTAAAGATTGGTATAGAGAGCGGAAGACCAGGGGTTCTTGCATTTTTTTAAATCATACTAATCATACTAATATTATAAATGCGAAAGTTTAGATAGATGGATATTTGTTAGAGTTTGTAGCCTAAACGGCTGAACGGATTTCAATGAATTTTTGTATAGATGTAGAGGATAGCCTGGAAGAACAATTGGCAACTCACTTTTGTTGTTTTTATATCATGCGGACGGACTCTTGGGCGAAAGCTAGTGGTTTAATACATTTCAGTAAGCAAAAACTTTCGTTATGAGTTACTAGTTTTCGCTCACGACTTCGTCCGTAAACACAAAAAACAAAACTGAATATCCTATGTGTCGTTCGAGACTATGCTCTATATCTATGCCAAAATTTCATTGAGATACGTTCAGCAGTTTAGGCTACAAACTCTAACAAACATCCATCTAAACTTTGCATTTATTAATTAAGTAAGATTGTTATGTCTTAAAAGAGATGTATTATATAAAAGGTGAAGATCAAGAAGGGAGACACTGACGGCGGAAGATTAAACACATTCGACTAAACAATCGTACTGTGCGTTTGTCGATTGTTTCGCAGTCAACTGTTTAGTTGCACAACTTAACATCGAGTATTGTCCTCCATATAAGCTCATAGGAATCAAAGCAAGAAACAATTGTGCGATAGTTTAGTCAAAAGGGTAGGCTCTGAGGGAAAAAAAGTCAAAGGTGAAAGAAGTGAAAGAAAGAAGGAAAAGAAGTCAAAGTTGAAAGAAGTGAAGGCAATAAGGGAGAAAAGTCAAAGGTGTGTGCTCTAAGGGAGAAGAAGTTAAAAGTGTGTGCTCTAATGGAGAAGAAGTCAAATTTGTGGGCTCTAATGGAAAAGAAGTCAAAGCTGTGGGCTCTAAGAGAGAAGAAGTTAAAGGTGTGGGCTCTAAGAGAGAAGAAGTTAAAGGTGTGAGCTGTAAGGGAGAAGAAAGGCGGTGATACTTACGTATAAAATCCCTCGGTGGGTATATGCCATGTCTGTATGCCTTGGTAAGGTGGATCCGGTACAACCGTCACAGACAATTCAGTACCGTTATACGCCATATCACACATTGTCTGGTTGGGACCGTATCTACCAGTCGCACCGCACGTCGTGAAACGGTAGTCTGTGTGAAAAAAACCTTGGTTTATTACCCTTTTCTTATAAAAGAAGGTAAACAAGAACTTCAAATTATTAACAGCACCTATGGACTTTAGACAAATGCTAGTTTTTTAATGAAAGCGAAGCGACCTCTGCCCATAATTATGCAATTATAGATGCGTTGCCCTTAATAGAAGGAGAAGACGCACATAAAGAGGATATTTCCCTTTCCTATGCGTCTCCACGGTCAAAGCTATTTTCCATTCCCGTCTTTTCTTTATAAGAAAATAGTGGATAAGAGATTAAAATTAGGCAGTCATGAGACTGTAGGTGGAATTGATCCCTCTTCACGCCTGTCGTCTGTGTAGTCGTTGTATTGCTTTGGACGAGCTGGCCCTATAGTTTGAAGAAATTAAGTTGTTAGTAAAAAGTCAAGTTCCTTCGTAACTTACAAGGAATGTCTTCGAAGTCTGGATGTGGTTCGGTCTTCTCTTCGTATGTTGGATCATAGTAATTGTAATCTCCAAGTTCTTCCGGGTCTATGTTCAGACCGAAACACTCTGGAGCCATCGAGAAATCATCGATAGCTGAATCTGAGTATATCCTCATGCCCATTCGAGTCTTGAATTGAAGGAAGTATCTAGAAAAATACATTATTAGTTTTTTCACTGTTAAATACTAATTCTACATCATCAGAATCACTTATCTATCATACTAATATTATAAACTAGCTTTTGCTTGCGGTTCCGTCCGCGCGGAATTAAAAAAAAACTGAGTAGCCTATGTGTTCTTCCAGACTATCCTCTACATCTA